CTGCGTTCCCATTCCCTGCGCTGCGTTCCCATTCCCTGCGCTGCGTTCCCATTCCCTGCGCTGCGTTCCCATTCCCTGCGCGGTGTTCATATTCCCTGCACCGCGTTCACATTCCCTGCACCGCGTTCACATTCCCTGCGTTCACATCCCTGCGCTGCGTTTACATCCCCTGCATTCCCATTCCCTGCACCGCGTTCACATTCCCTGTGTTCACATTCCCTGCGCTGCGTTCACATCCCCTGCGTTCACATCCCCTGCGTTCACATCCCCTGCGCTGCGTTCACATTCCCTGCGTTCACATCCCTGCGCTGCGTTCACATTCCTGCGCTGCGTTCACACCCCTGCGCTGCGTTCACATCCCTGCGCTGCGTTCACATTCCTGCGCTGCGTTCACCTGCATTGCACAACAAAAGTGGCAATGTGTTTGGGGTTGATGTGCATTGTAGTCCGTTTTGATAGCTCAGAGCAGACTTCGGCTTTACTTACAATTTCATTGGCTGACGGGACCCAACAAAGTGGCGTGGGATGCAGGAAAACGCACGTCGACTCTGGGACAGGGATAGGCAATGTGGTGAAACTACAAATCCCATCATGCCCCTGCCTCGGGGAGTCATGCCTGTGGCTGTCAGAGTCTTGCAATGCCTGATGGGACCAGAACCTCGGCCCCGCGGCTGTGAGGTGGCGCCGCGTCCTTGTACCGGGCCCCAGCACAGGGCGCCGATATTGGGCCGACGCCAACTACTCCGCAAAGAGGAAGTCAAGTGTCTGCGGAGGAGATGATCCCGCCAGAGAACGGCGGGGGGGGAGGGGTCACTGGGACGAGGACATTGTACCGTGGCGCAATGTTCCCTGGAGCACGCCGCTGTTCTCGCCCCGAGACACTCTAATGGCCCCCCAGTCTTAGTCCGTAGGGCTCAGTATTGGGTTGGCTCCGCCCTCTACTGGCCCCCCAGTCTTAGTCCGTAGGGCTCAGTATTGGGTTGGCTCCGCCCTCTACTGGCCCCCCAGTCTTAGTCCGTAGGGCTCAGTATTGGGTTGGCTCCGCCCTCTACTGGCCCCCCAGTCTTAGTCCGTAGGGCTCAGTATTGGGTTGGCTCCGCCCTCTAATGGCATCCCAGTCTTAGTCCGTAGGGTTCAGTATTGGGTTGGCTCCGCCCTCTACTGGCCCCCCAGTCTTAGTCCGTAGGGTTCAGTATTGGGTTGGCTCCGCCCTCTACTGGCCCCCCAGTCTTAGTCCGTAGGGTTCAGTATTGGGTTGGCTCCGCCCTCTAATGGCATCCCAGTCTTAGTCCGTAGGGTTCAGTATTGGGTTGGCTCCGCCCTCTACTGGCCCCCCAGTCTTAGTCCGTAGGGTTCAGTATTGGGTTGGCTCCGCCCTCTAATGGCATCCCAGTCTTAGTCCGTAGGGTTCAGTATTGGGTTGGCTCCGCCCTCTACTGGCCCCCCAGTCTTAGTCCGTAGGGTTCAGTATTGGGTTGGCTCCGCCCTCTAATGGCCCCCCAGTCCTTACATTTCGGTACTTTTTCATCAAGTAGCTTTTAAAATAGTTTTTTCTAATGAGGCTGCAACTGGATTAACCCGTTCAGGACCGGAGCGCGTCATTTCTCTGCATCGGTATAAAGTCCGATCCCTCCG